AGAGTGCTCTGACTATTTTACTCAGTTAATGTGGGTTTTATTCAAATTAACTGAACTGAAAGACCCCAAATTCTGTCCTGGCTCCAGTGCAGCCCCAAGGGAGAACGTCTGAGATGCTTTTCACACCCATTTCTGACCCACGGGCAGCAAAGGAGCATCACAGGAGCACTGCAGACACATCCCAACACAGGGGATCTGGGTGAGGATCTGTTGGACCTGATGGTCCCCACACACAAATCAACAGCACCAGAGGAAGGTTCCCTCCACCAGCCACAGCCCTGGGCAACCCAGGCACTAAACAGCAAACACATCCTGCTGTTTCTGCATTTATCAAGAATAAAATCGGGAAGAGAAGTGATATTTGGCAATGAAAAAGTCATATTTCAGAGCACTGGGATGTCCAGGGGCTTCCCTTCTCCCTCAGCAGCTCCCAGTAGATGGCAGCATGTTATTGCAGATTCCTCCTGCCTGCAACAGCATCAGAAATCGCTCCCATCCCTAAAAATCCTCTGTCTGCCAGTCAGAGCAGGAGAGGAGCCCGAAATGCTGAGCATCCCAACCACAGCTGTGCCCAGAAATAAAACACCCCACGAAATCCTGCTGCTGCAGCTCAGACACTGCTCCCAGGGGTGTTTTTCATGAGTTCAGACATGTCCTGGTGGTGCTTTCCAATTTTCCCTATGTAGGAATCAGAGCTGGATGGGACAACCCTGCCACATCCACGGATGTTTGAGCTGGCACTGGGAACTGTAGAACAAGGACATCTCTGCCTCTTGGCACTAATCCTAAATCTGGGGGTGAGGCCTTAAACCTGAGGTACAGGCCCCAAACATGAGAGTCAGGCCCCAAACCTGAGGGTCAGGCCTTAAACCTGAGGGTCAGGTCCTAAACATGGGGGTCAGATCCTAAACCTGAGGGTCAGGCCCCAAACCTGGGGGTCAGTTCCTAAACCTGAGGGTCAGGCCCCAAACCTGGGGGTCAGTTCCTAAACCTGAGGGTCAGTTCCTAAACCTGAGGGTCAGGCCCCAAATCTGAGAGTCAGGCCCCAAACCTGGGGGTCAGTTCCTAAACCTGAGTGTCAGTTCCTAAACCTGAGGGTCAGGCCCTTAACCTGATGGTCATACCCCCAAACCTGAGGGTTAGGCCCTAAACCTGGGGGTCAGGCCCTAAACCTGAGGGCCAGGCCCTAAATCTGGGGGTCAGGCCCTAAACCCGAGGGTCTCTCTCTGCTGCTGTGATTCACTCAGATATTAAAAATAAAATCAGGGTGCAGATGAGGTACCAGAGCAGAGCTGAGGCACTTTTTCCCAACCCCACACTGGTCCTTCCCACCACAGACTGGTTTGAAAGGAAGCTCAAGCTCCATCCTAAACTTTTACAGAATCACTGAATCATGGAATGGTTTGAGTTTTTTCAGTGAACAGCTGAGAATGGAATGATATTTTATTTAAAGACAAGTCTGAAGCAGAAACCTCACCATTTTTTACTATCTCTGATGAGATCTTTGCATAAAGATGCGAGAGTAATTTTGGGCAGGGATAAAGAGGGAGTAGGAAAGAAGGCACAAGGGAAAAGATTTGAATAGGAATTCAAATTTGAAGCTTAATTTATCTCACTAATGCCATAAGTCCAATTCTGGCTGTGAAACTTCCGAAATCTGGAGGTATTTGGAAGTCATGGCCAGTCCCAGACTTTGCAGCACAAGCCTGGGTATTACACACAGGGAGAAAATCCTACTTTTTCTTTAATAAAGTAGTGGATGCCCTAATGACCAACCACATTTCTGTGGCCCAGATACCGAACACACACACATAAGCTAAAAAACCTATTAATATTTGCAGGAAATTTAGCAAATGCCACAAATCCTTTGTGACACCTCAGCAGTCAGAGCCAGCCTGTTTTACCCTGTTTTCTCCTGGTGGAAAAACCTCCTTCCTGGAGCTCACACAACTTGGCAATTTATTTTTTTTTCCCTGATGGAAATGTGCTCCTGCTCTGCTGAGACTTTCCCTGCCTTGAACCAAGAAGCTCAAAGCAAAACTCATTTGAAACACATTTTCCCCTTGCCATGGGGCCACTCCCAAAGCTCCAAACTGCTGCTGTTGTCACCTGCAGGTGACTGAGCTGGTGAAACACGGGGTTTAAACAGCAAAAGCCTTGCCAGAACCAACAAGTGTTAGCTGGGTTAAGTTTTGTTGTGAATCCTCCACGTGATTTTGGCTTCAGAGGAGAAAATTCTTCCCCCTGCTGCTTCCCTGGTTGGGGTTTCTACCTCCTAAGTCACTGAGCAGAGAAGAAAGGGGATGCCCAGTGATTTTTGAGCCCCATAAAAAGACTTGAAGATGATATCCACAGTGAAAAATAAAAGCAAAATCAAAGGCAGGACAGCCAGGAAAGTCCTAAAAGTCTTCTGGGCCTTTCTCAAACAGTTTGTCTTTCCTATAAACTTGAACACATCGAACTTCAAATGTGTTCACTTACAGGAAAAGACCACACAGGACCTGTCCCAGAATTCAGATTTAATGGTTGAAAGGACTGTGTGAAGAGTGATGTGTTGATTGTTAATTGGGGCTAATTGATTCTTGAACCCTGAGCGTCTTGGACACGGAAATATCAAGGCAGGGTTGGAAACCTTTTCTCCTGTTCAGTCAGGATCACCCAATTCTCTGGAGAAGTGAGGCAGGGAGGGAATTTATTCGTCCCAGTCACCAGGAGCTGCAGGGGGAAGGATGAGCAGGTGGGTGGGGATTTCTCCAGCAGCTCTGCCACTGCTCCTGTCCACGAAATCACCACTTGCTCTCCCTTGTCATCTTTAAAAAAGGCAAAACTGAGAGTTCAAACAGCACAGAGCATTTACAGACTCCTGCATGAGCCGTATCACAGGGAGACAAATCACTTTTATCCCACATTGATGTTATTTTCTGCTTTCTGGGGGTGAATTGTTGTGTTTGTTTAATGGTTTGAAGAGACCTCAGTCCCCGGGGTACCCTGAGAACTTGCCCAGGTCATTGTGAATTCAGGTGAGCAGGGCAGGGTTTGGATGCATCAGAGCCTTGTTTATGGAAAAGAACCTGGATAATAAGAATTCAAGAGTTATCTGAAGGACAAAAGAATAAAACACACTCTCCAGATGATGGAATTATGCCCTAAAAGAAGGAGGAAAGAGATGCAGCCACGAAAGCTAAAAAGAAGTGTTGATGAATTTATATGATGATGGGAAGAATTCTGCACCCCAGGGACCACAAAGATGCTGTAGCCAGGTGGGAAATGGGCTCTTCCCCCAAGGAACAAGGGACAGGACAAGAGGAAATGGCCTCAAGTTGTGCCAAAGGGAGTTTAGATTGGATATCAGGGAAAATTTCTTCATGGAAAGGGTGGTCAGGCACCGGACCTGGAGGGATTTCAAAGCCCTGTGGATGTGGCACTTGGGGACATGGGGCAGTGGTGGCCTTGGCAGCGCTGGGGAATGGTTGGCTTGGATCTCAGAGGTCTTTTCCAACCTAAATGGTTCCATGGTGCAGCTCAGGTGCCTCCTCTGAGCTCCACAGCTCTTGCTGATGGTCCCCAGCAGCTCCAACGTGTAGGAGAAAATCTGTTGCTGTGTAACCGGTCAGCGGTTGATGCTGTGAAAACTCCTGGTCTTCACCCACCCAGCAAGATCAGGAGCTGGGAACATACTACCTCCTCACTCTTCCCTTCAAACTCCACACATCAAATAGTGCAGAGTCAGAGCTCCAGGGATATTCCACCTCTCCAGCAGCTCCTGGTTAATGTGTCATTATTTGGGTGTGTCATTATTTGGGTGCCACTGGGCTGTCAGTACATGCTCAAGCTCTGTTCTGCCTGGGCTAATTAAGCATCTCAACAGATCAGGGAGGGGGAAAAAAAATATCATTTTAAAAAGGAGAGATTGAATTTGGGAATTGTATTCCTTGCAGAGTTTGTCATGGATCTTTCTCTCTCCGCCTTCTCCAGGCCTCCATAACTTCTTGGCGTCAATGTTATTGTGGAGGAACTAATTCAATAATGAGATCATTCCCCATATGACAGCCCAGGAAATGAGGCTCTCAGTCACACTCTTCCTCATCTGAGGGAGTCCAGCTTCTCTCCTGATTCAGTCTCCAAAAACCAAATGATGACACCAACTATTCCCAGTGTTCGTGGGAGGTCCCATCCAAGCGCCACATGCAAAAACTCCCTTGTTTGATCTACATCCCTTCATTTGCAAGTCCCAGACTCCTCCTTTCGCTGTTTCTTGGGCTCAGCTGCTCATTCCTGAACCAGCTGCTGCCACAGAGGATCAGGAAGATCAGCCAGTGCAGTGACTCAGAGTCAGCACCCCCAGTCCAGGAGCAAACCACTGCTGAGTGTTTGCTCTCACCCATTTGCTTACTCCTCAATCCTCCTTTTGTGGATAAATCACCAGGGGGTCTGTCACATCCAGTTCTGGGTTTATTTTGCTCTTACTACTACTTTAAGATCAACAGAACTTGAAAGGAGACATCCCTTCAAGCCCACCTGCATCTGGCCACCCTGAGGTCCACAGACTCTGTTCCTGGGAGTTGCTAAAAGTGTCAGCCTTCAACCAACCAAAGTATAACCTATCTGGGCAGGAATCCAAGCCCAAATTTCACCCAGTTTGAGTTCAACCTACAGCCTATACCTAGAAGATAGATATCTTCTAGATAACTTTAGAAGCTTTTCCTGGGTTTTGGTCTTCTGAGGAGCCCCAAGTGCAGATGCTTTGGTGGAACCTCACGCTGAGCTCAAGTGCTCCATGTTTGGACTTGATGACCTTGGAGGTCATTTCCAACCTTAACCATCCTCTGATTCTCTGAACAACCAGGAGAAAGCAAATATTCCAATCAACACCTGGATGTGTTGAACTCGGCGCTCATCTCACGGTGAGACTTTCGGGAGGAGCTCCCTCTGCTTCGCGTGGACACCAAAACAACAGCAAACCCTACAATAACAAGCCCACCATGGGGCTCTGTGCTCACCTGGCAAAGTCCAGGTCGGCCTCCCGGGACATGGTGATGTTGGTCAGGTTCTGCTGGAGGATGAAGATGTTCCGACACATCTTCTTGATGCCGGACTCGCTGATGCGCTTGAAGTAGTGGGCGCCGTTGATGAGGATGCAGGAGATGAGGTGGCCCAACCCTGCCAGGGGGAGGAGGAAGGTGTTTAGTGGCAATAATTCATCACAAAACCCAGGAATGAGCACTGTTGAGTGGACTGGAACAAGGGATAACTGGAAACAGCCCCTGTGCATTTTAGGACTTCCCTCAAGGTTCCCTTCTTTAGTAAAAATACAAAACTGCCCGAAAATCAGAATTGCACAACCTCTGATATCTCCAGGGCGCTTCCAGGCTTTGCAGAGTGTCCCTTTCCATCCCTCTGTCTGGGCAGAGCAATGGAGCACTGCAGCTCCTGGAAGATCACAGTGGTTGAATCTGTTTTCAAGGGTGGTGTTTTCCCTGGAAAACTCACGGTCTCCAGGAGCAGAAATGAGCTGCACCCAAAGCACTTGGTGCACAACCTCTCTCTGATCAGGCTGGAACAGTTTCTCGTGTCTGAGGGATGTCCCTGCTGCTCAAGGACACAGCTGGGTGCTGACAGTCACAGCCACCCCCAAAATGATGGATCCATTCCTGTCACATCACAACCACTCACGTCACATCAGAAAGAGCAAAAAGCTCAGCCTGATTCCCTCAGTGCAGAGGCCTGGACAAGCCCATATGCCAATTAAAAGTCTGAATTAAGAAAATAACTGTAAAAGTCTGAATTAAGAAAACAACTGTGAAGTGAAGTGGAACAAGGGATAACTGGAAACAGCCCTCAAGATCTTCCCTGTGCATTTTAGGAGGACTTCCCTCAACGTTCCCTTCTTTGGCAATAATACAAAACTGCCCCAAAAATCAGAATTGCAGAACCTCTGATATCTCCAGGGCACTTCCACATTTATAATCAGGCTTTGCAGAATGTCCCTTTCTATCCCTCTGTCTGGGCAGAGCAATGGAGCACTGCAGCTCCTGGAAGATCACAGTGGTTGAATCTGTTTTCAAGGGTGGTGTTTTCCCTGGAAAACTCACGGTCTGCAGGAGCAGAAACGAGCTGCACCCAAAGCACTTGGTGCACAACCTCTCTCTGATCAGGCTGGAACAGTTTCTCGTGTCTGAGGGATGTCCCTGCTGCTCAAGGACACAGTTGGGTGCTGACAGTCACAGCTACCCCCAAAATGATGGATCCATTCAAGTCAATTCCCTCTCCTCACACAGACATGGGACACCTGAGTTGTTGGAGGGGCTCTAGAACCTGATGGTGACGTGTTTGCCACAGATTTACAGAGCTTGGAAAACAGCTCCATAAAAAACTCTCTCTGCAGCTACATGGGAATGGCAGGGAATAATACAAGCCTTGGGATCATGAAATCACAGAAGGGTTTGGATTGGAAGGGACCTTAGAGAGCATCCAGTTCCAACCCTGACGCTTTCCACTGTCCCGGGTGGTTTCAAGCCCAGTCCAACCCGGCCTTGGACACTTCCAGGGATCCAGGGGCAGTCACAGCTTCTCTGGGAAATCCATTCCAGCCTCTCCCCACCCTCCCAGACAGCAATTCCTTCTCAATATTCCACCTATCCCTGCCCTCTGGCAGTGGGAAGCCATTCCCTGTGTCTGTCCCTCCATGCCTTGTCCCCAGTCCCTCTCCAGCTCTCCTGGAGCCCCTTTAGGCCCTGCAAGGGGCTCTCAGCTCTCCCTGGAGCCTTCCCTTCTCCAGCTGAACCCCCCTCAGCTCTCTCACCCCATCAAACCCCCGTTTCCCACAGGGATCTCACTTATCCCATCGGTGCCAACAGCCCCTCAATCCACCAAGGAACGCTGTGGAGCTTCGGGATGAGGACAAAAACCCCTTTTTTTGAAGACCCAGAGTGTTGTGGGAGGTGCCTGACCTTCGAAGATGTACTGGAACTTGTGCTGCTGGAGGCTGGCACTCATGGCCTCCTCGATGGCGCTGATGTCCTTGTTGAGCCTCACCACCAGCGGGTCATAGTCCATGCTCTCCACGTTGGCCACGATGGCATAGTTCCCCTGCTTGGCCAGAGGGATCAGGTAGTGGAAGCAATGAACCCTGCAAAGAAAAGAGAATTATCAAAAAATTTTTCAAAGCGTTGCTTCTTTTGTTTTCCTTCCGGCGGCGTTAAAAAAATAACACCTTTATTTAAAAAGCTTTGTTTAAAAATGTATTTAAAGGTAACCAACTTCAAGAACTGGGTGGTTATGTCTGAATTAAACACACACTCCTCTTGTCATTGTCCCTCCTCTCTGGGGGTTTTCCTGCTTGTTGCCATCCCTGTTTTCCTGGATTCCATTTGCACACTGATCTGTGCTTGACCCAAGAGTGGTGAGAAGCCACAGGGGCCAGAACCCCATCCAGGCTGGTGCCTTTTCCATGAATCCAGGTTATCTCAGGCCTCATCTCCCATTATAGCCCAGCTGGAGAACTGCTCCATTTCCATCCTTTTCCCCGTCTTTCCCTCCAACCCGTGCCTGCAATCCCGAGCCCAGCAGATGATGGATGGCAGGTTGAAGGGCTGCTGACAATAACTGATGTGGATTTTTTTTTGCAGAGCTCCACCCTGACTTCCCCAGGGCTCTGCCTGCGTGCACAGGGACACAACACGGCTCAGGATGTGTCACAGGAGAACAAACTGATGATCCATCAATTCTGTCACATCTATTTGATGCTTCAGAGGAAAAGGGAAGCAATGAAAATCCACCTGGCCCATACAATGCATCAGGGAAAAGCGTCTTCCCAGCCCCGCAGTGGACAGCTGGCAGCCTGAAGAAAGGCATTTGCTGCCTTTGATCTCTGCATGGGAAGTCAGCAGCCACAGCTTCTCTGGGAAATTCATTCCAGGGTCTCCCCACCCTCCCAGCCAGGAATTTCTCCCTAATCTAAATCTCACTGCTGGTTCAGACACAGAACTCCCTGAGCAATTCCTGCCTCCCTCACACATTCGGCCATCCCTGGTGATGTGATCTGGCACTTCTGGACCGACCTTCGATGCTGCACCAGGCAACTTTATCCTTCTGTGATGCCATAATATGTACTCTGGACACATTCTTAACCCACAGGCTCGCCCAAAAATCCTGAATTTAGGGTGTCCACCTGACTTCCAGGTGCAGAACCAGCAGGCAGCGATCGGCCATCTCCTGGAAAGACCTGGCCAGCTCACTCAGCGTTTGCAGGATCTGTTCGGATGCAGGGAGTTGTTCCATGCTGCAGTGGCTGTCCTGGCCTGGAGACATGGCTGGAAAAGAGAAGACAGAAGAGATTTGTGACATCCTTCAGCAGCTTTACCACCCACAGCATCTCATCTGCTCCCGTCCCAAACACGTGCGTTCTCCGCGCCTTTGGCTGAGCAATAACGGCTCTAATTTGATATTTAACATCTACTGTGAAGCACCAAAGTGCTTCTGCAATGGATTGAACTCCAAAGTGAGCCTGAGGGGGTTTAATCAACCCCCAGGATACATTTGCTTGGGAAGATATTGCTCTGTGATGGGTATTGCTGCAGCTGCAGAATCCAGGATCATTCATCTTGCTGGAAAGAGCTGCCTGGGAGCCAAAGCACAGCTCCAACAGGTGACAGGCTCCTTTTTTTAGTCACCACAGGCTCCCCCATCCGACCTCAGGTGAGTCTTTACTCCCTCAGAGGCACCTGGGAAGCTTTTTTGGGGGGGTTTTGTTAATAAAACACAGCTCTTGGGCAGCGAGGCAAAGGTGTGACCTGGCCATGGAGCAACTGCTTCCTTCCCACCGAGACCTCCAAAACACCACCTGGAATTTCTCCCAGCCCTGAGGACATTGTTCTGTCTCTGAGGGGTTTCAGTGCAGCTCTAACTCTGGAACCTCACCCCTTATATTTTATCCACTCACATTTAATCCTGAGCCTCCTCCCCTGCAACCCAAAAGCTGCCCCTTGAGTAAGGGAGTGAATTCCCTAATAGGAATAACACTCTGTTACCTTACATTCTGCCCTAATTAGAGGAAACACATCCCAAATTCCTTGGATCAAGGCCTTGCTCCAGCAGCACTTTAGGACTGACATCCTGCCTACATGATTAGCAAGGTTTGGGATCGGGCTGGTTCCTCTCACACAGCTTCCACTTGAATTAAACAATGGGATTGCCAGGGATCTCCTGGATCAGCAAGTCCTATCCCCACAATTCCTGTGTCCCAGGGCCTGGAGTATGAACTCCTGGGCCATATTAAAGCTGGTCAGGTCCCCACCCCTGCTGGCTCCTTCCAAACATCGCTTCTCCAATTGGGAAGTTAAAATTTGGGATCTAATTTCCAGCCTCAAACTTCCTCATTGATGTTTTACATTTGGTTCTTTACATGCCAACATTCCTGTTTTCCCTATGGAGCTCTCCATGGCTCTCTGGAGAATCAGGGAATCATTAAGGCTGGAAAAGCCCCTTTAAGATCACAGAATCAAACCATTCCCCAAAGCCATCACTGACCCACATCCCCAAGTGCCACATCCATATGGATTTTAAATCCCTCCAAGAATGGGGACTCCACCCCTGCTCTGGGCAGGACAACCCTCTCCACGAAGGAATTTTCCCAAATATCCAGTCTGAACCTCCCTTGGCACAACTTTCCTCCTGTTTTGTCCCTTGGAGGCTGATTTAGGTAAATGTCACTCGGGGCTTGTTTGTACAACCTGCTTTGGGAGAGGAACCTTCAATGAGCTTTGGATTTGCTCCTAATTTAATTAGGAGTAAAATATAACAAAATTAAATTTTGCTCCTAAAGTTAAATCACATCCAGCCTGGAAAGAGAAAAAAAAAAGGAGATAAAAACTCACAAATGTAAATTTGTGTAAAACAAATTGAAACAGAGGTAAAAATATAAGAGGGAGTTGTACAGATAAAGGAGGGTGGCAAAGCCAGAAGGAAAAATTTCACCCAGGGAGAGATTTCACCCGGGGAGAGATTTCACCGAAGTGCCTGAATGTGCCTCTAAATGTTCTGGGAATTAAACCAGAGAAAAGTGTGCAAGGATGAAGCCATGGAAAACATGGAGAGCTGGAAGCAGGTGATCTTTGATGCCCGGAGAAGCTGTGGCTGCCCCTGGATCCCTGGAAGTGTCCAAGGCCAGGCTGGAGCAACCTGGGCTAGTGGAAGGTGTCCCTGCCCATGGCAAAGAGTTGGAATTAGATGATCTTGGAGGTCTTTCCAACCCAAAGCATTCTGGGATGACTCTGTGGATTCCCCTCCTTCAGCAGCTCCTGCGGGAACACGGTGAGACAATTCAAAAACTGCTGGAAATAATTCACTGGCCTGGAGTGTGGAAGAGAAATAAAGAGGGAAATGGGAGTGACAACCCCCAGGGGGAGTGGGAATGACAGGGATTCCCCCTCCCCAGCACACCCTGACACTTCTCCCAGCTTTTCTCTCTCCTCACCGAGCTCTACCCCGCAGAGAAAATGGAATTATCAGCGAGGGGGTGATGGGATTATTTACACAACCTCTAATTTCCAGATAAGATTGTTAAGAGATGACTCTTGGAAGCTGCTTTGGAAGAGCTGTGACATCTCCAAGTGACACTGGTTTTCCCTGGAGGGGGGCAGGACTTTTGGCTCAGGGATCAGATCAAGGGATGCTTTTCTGGTCATGGCAGAAAGCAGGAAACCTCACCTTTATTATGCACGAAAAAACCACCTATTTTGAACCAAAAATCCTACATTTTGAGTAGCTTTTATCAGCCTGGAGATGGACTAGCTGCAAGAATCATCTCTCTTTAGCAGTGTCAGGGTTCTCGCTCCAGAGATTCCGCCCCGGAAGGCCCGGAGATGGATGGACCCATCATCTGAAAAGCTGGAGTCAGCTAATTCCTGCAGCAGGCAGATACACACATCATTTTTCTCCTCTCCAGAACTCATTTACAGCACTTTAAGTGAAGCTGTAATTATATTTGTCAGTGGAGGCGAGAGGAGGAGGGAGACGGGGACGAGCTGCTCCTTATTTAAAGCCTGAAGTCCTTCTGGGTGTTCACAGGAGGGTCAGGTGGGGGCTTGGGGGGGGATGAAGATGAATTTCTCCAGTGGATTTTCACTTTTTGAGCTCCAAGGAAGCCTTTCAGAGCCCATCAATTTTCCTCTGGACACCCAGGAAGGATCATTTCACAGCCCACGAGAAAAAAAATCTCCTTTTCTTTAAGTCTCGCTCGAGACGGTTTTTACTCCATCATCCTGGGCACAGAATGAGCTGGAGCAGCAAAAAACCAAAATAATCAGAGCCTGAATTATTAAGGGGCCTGGAATAAAAAAAATGTGATTTGGAGCTGGCAGTGGAGTTGGGCAGTTCTTTGGGCAGAGGGTGACACCGCCCGGGGCCGTCTGACCCACCACCCCTTCGAGAAAACGGGAGAGAAGCAAAAAAAACAGCAAAAAAAGCAAAAAAACCCTTAAAATACTGGAAAAAAAACCCCCAGCAGATTGCCAGCCATCCACTTCTTCTTCCCCTTCTCTTTCCTGATCCCTTTTCTCACCCTCCATCCCTAATCCAAGCTGAACATGATCCCAACTTGGCCAACACTCCACCCACCGGTGGAGCGAGCGGTGGCTTCGCTCCGTCGGTGTTTTTATCACCTTGAGCCGGGATTAATTTGTCTAAACTGAGCTTTCCATGCTGCTGGATAACACAGCTTTGCTTGGAATTTCTCCAGCCTTGCTGCAAGCACAGCCAGGTTCCCTCTCCCTGAGGAAACAGGGAATGAAACTTTGCTGTTTCATTCCGGCAAAGCGGAGAAAAAACCAACCCGACGCCCTCGTTGCCACCCCTGATTTCAATCCTTTGGTGACTCAGAGCTCTCCTGACAGGCTGGGCCTTGGAAATCAATGGCTGGGAATCGCCAGAGCTCGGGAATATTAAACAAAACTTGCCTTGTTGCCCATAAACAACTCGAGGGCCGTTTCCCACTGCAAACGGATCGGAGTGATGGAACAATCCAAGGAGACGAGCTCTGAGCCTCAGGAATAAACCCCCACAGCGCTCCCTGCGGTTGCTTCAGGCTCGCAGAGGTGTTTTACAGCTTTACAGAGGGGAAAAACCCTCTTTTTTGGGAAAGAGAGGCTGTTTGAAACGCTTGCTGTGCCCCATCGCAACATTAAAGGCCAATTTGCAGCTTCCTAAATTTTAATGCCTGACCCCCTTCCACTCCAGAAGAGGAAACTCCAAAATAAGAGCAAATATACCCATGGAAAAGGGAATTTTTTATGGGTTACATGTCAGATTAAGCCTTTAGAGCTCAGGATTAACTCTTCTCCCTGCTGGAGAGTTTTCCAGGGATCTCACGAAGCACTTTCCGTGCTTTAGTTCCCAGTGTGGAAAACCTGGATAAAGTGCTTTTATCCATCACTCCCATTCAAGCTGACTCAGGTCTCCACATCTCCTTTTCCTACAGTTTTTAACACCACCAGGGGATGATGCCACCGGGAGACAAAATCACTATTCGAACACCTACCAAAAAAAAAAAAAAGGAGAATATCTGGTTATTTATAGGGAAAAAGCTTTGGGTGAAGTTGGAATAATCAGATAGGTGATTATGTGGGGTTTTTTTAGAGGAGATTAAAGCACAGTGAGTGCATCAAATTCAACATCAAGGGCTTATTTTGGGAAGTTTTCCAAAGGAAAACACATTCCAGGAGACCTCTGCCTTCTGAACCCAAACAGCAGGAGGAAAACAATATATTTTTAAATATATCACTATAAAAAAACCCCATCTCTCTTACTGTTAAGCCACGATCTGTCACTCTGGGACACTGATGAGGAAAGAAATCCCAGAATTCCCAGAATATTCTGAGTGGGAAGGGCCCCACAGATGCCACTTGGACCAATTTTTGGCTGCTGGAGCACTATTTGAAGCCCCAAGGCACAGCTCACTCACTGCCTACTCCTAAACTGGTCTAGTTTGGAGACCTCAGAGCTGCAGATTTATAGGAAAGGTCTGGAACGAGCCATAAAATCTGGAACTGGGTTTTGACTCTCCCTAAGTTCCCTCTCCCTTCCTCCCGGAGCTCCAGGGATTTGGGGAAGCAAAGCTGGATTTTGGGGCTGACATTTTCCCTGTGCTTCTCAGAGGGGTGAATGTTGGGACCTCCTAGATATGGCTGGTTGCTTAAAATGTTTATGGATTAATTGCTGCATAATTCTACCTAAATTGTCCTTTTTTCAGAGAGTTTAAATAGAAATAAAACACTGAGAGCAACGATATCTCCTCAGATTTCCAAGATCAGAGAAG